TTCCTTCCTTCCTTCCTTCCTTCCTTCCTTCCTTCCTTCCTTCCTTCCTTCCTTCTTCGTTCGTTTATTCATTCACTCAATATTTCTGTGCCTGCCCATTCACACATGACTCAGGGTGGCTTACAAAGGGTTAAAACATCAATATACATAATTAAAACAAGAATAAAAATGGCCGTGCTGGGGGGAAAGTCCATAACAATTAACAACAGACAACTCAGAAAGAGCCAAGCCTTCAAGATTCACTTGCAGTACAGCAGGGTCGAGGCTGCTCTGACCTTGAGGGGGATGCAGTTCCAGAGGAAAGCTGCATTGACCCATTTGTGGGGGTCCATGTAATACCCAAGCCACAGAACACTCAACCAGGTGATAGCCAAGATTACTGGGCTGTATGATTGCAGCTGCTAGGTCTTTGGCCAGGTTAAGCATGTTGTATGAATATGAAAGCATGTTCTCCAGAAGCAATAGAGAAATTACTGAAGTGAAATGGAACAGAAGAGGAATGAAACTGAGATGGGTACAAAAAGGGGACTACATAAGGAAGCAGCAGGTTTTGATGGCAGCAGCTTTTCAGCCTTGGCTGATCTAAAACAAAGATAAGCAGGGTCAGACTTGGTTAGTTCTTGGATGGGAGATCTCCAGGAAATTCTAAGGCAGTAAGCTAGACTGAGACATGAAAAAAAGTCCTAGAAGAAAGCAATGGAAAAACTCTTCTGTGTTGTTGTTGACAAGAAAACTACACGTATATATCCATGTAGTCACCAGGAAATAGGCTTCTCTTGAAGGAGGTTTTACTGTTTTCAACATAGGAATAAAGAAAGAAGAGAGAAACAGAGTATATTTGCATGCTGCACTTCACCTAGCCTGGCACCACCCATAGCCAGGGCACTGAACCACGGCTCTGGTGCCGGATGACCAACAAACCCCAGTTTGACTGAGAACAGCTGCCATGTCTGGGATCCCAATTATTTTTGCAATGCAGACAGTTCTCATATGCTTATTTTTTACAGATTAAAAAAAAGACATAAAAAACAGGGTTGCCTAATTGGATCATAGCATCACCAACAAAGGTGGGATTTGCCCACCTCCTTTCTCCCAGTGTCTTATAAGGGAGGAATTCTAAAAAGAGAGGGTAGCTGAAGTATCTCTAGATCAGTGTTTCTCAACTTAGGTGAGCTGTCTCCCAAGAAGTCTTGGAGAAAAAAGTAGGATTAAGGCACTCCAGCTTAATTAGTTGTACTCAGATTCTGGGTTTGAATGACATGCAAGGTCTTAGAATAACCTAACTTAGTATGGCATGCACACTTGGCCATAAAAGGTCTGGGAGAGGTAATTGCATTGAGCAAGAGTTTTGAACTTTAGTCTCTTGTGAGCTTATAAGCCTTTTGTATTTCTAGTATTGCATAAACACAATTAAAAGCAGATGTTAAGTATATAGTCAGCTACCCTCTTCTCTGCTTGGACCTTTTCAGTTGCTCTGCAGGTTGTCTCTCTGTTTGGTTGGCTAACACCTCTACAATATAATGTGTATTTAGGGAACCTGTAGAGGGTAATGAGGCCACAATAGATCTCGTGCAAAGTTAATACTAGCTTTAAAAGACAGGAAATGGCAGACATTGTATGTAATTTCTGAGTAACTTCAGTGTCTCCTTTTGAGCTTGCTTTTCTCTTTTTGAATTTGAAATATTAAAATTCCTGTTTAATGGTCTTAGGATATGGAACCATGAGCATGCTTTCGTAGTGAAAGTGTTGTCTGGCACTAATGGGAGTTAATGCCCCAAATGGCTGGAGATCTCTAGGTTGTCCTCTGCTTTACTGGAAATGGCATTAAAACAATATCACTTTCTTGCAAATAAATGCGTATGTAAGTTGGATTTATAGAGGCACTAAGAGTGTCATGAAGTCTGTCTTAAGCCATTAATGTAACTTATGCATCTATACAGAAAATCAAAGCCAGTTTTAGAAAAAATATTTTAGGGTACCTTCCAAGAAAAAAATACAAAATTTTCTAAATTTTTTTCCTACTACGGGCTTAGATAACAATCAACAACAGCAAAAACTTTGAAGTAAATGGAGCCTTTGAAAAAATTGTAGCAACTGGTTGAAAATGTTCTGGTTTCAGTGTTCTGAAATTAGATTTTTCTAGTTATTCATTTGGCTGCTGGATAATATGGAAAGCTTTAAAGTATTCTAATTGATCAATTTTTTAAATTGACTGTCAGAAAATCCTAAGGATAGATGGAGTTTAATGCTGAGTAGGCACACTGAGAGAGAATGCTCCTCAGTGTTAACTTAGATGTGTTCAAAAATCTGGATAAGCACAGATTGGGAGCAAAGTGCTAGAGGTTTCTGTGCTGCTATCTAGTTGTACAGATGTTTGCAGCCCTGATATGGCAGCCTTAGGATTCTTGCACTGTTTGGTATTTGTAGATAAATGATGTATTTCTGTGCGGGGATACAAAGTGGCATTATCAATATGCATATTAGCTAATTTTGTGGGTTTTCATATATGTCTCTGTGACCAAGGTTAGGCAATTTGATATCCTCCAAATGTTCTAGATTGGGTGGAGCTGGTGGGAACTGAAGTCCAAAACTTCTGAAGGATACCAAGTTGCCTGTCTTTTCGTAAGCTGCTCCTGTGTTGTGAAATTCTTGACCTCTATGAAATTTGTCTATTTTTGAACATGCACTAAGACATTATTTTTGCTGGTTTCGTTTATCGGTCTTTTGTCCTTTCTCAATGTTAAAAACACTGATTTTAATATAGGCTGGGTTTGTATAACATACTAAGCTAATATGTGGTTGGCTCAGTATGTAGCTTAGTATGTTGTGTGAGCCCAGCTACTGTGGTTAGTTCACAGTTTAATGTGTTCCATAAACCCAAACAATTGGATTAGTTCAGCAAAATAGTTATGTTAACTATAGGCTGATATGTTGTATAAACACTGCCATTATAACTATAATTTTAATATTGTAATTGTGGTGTTACTTTGCTAACCACTTTGAGTACCTTTTAGCAGCAAAGTGAGATACATATATTTTAAATAAACACATTGCAATGCTATAAAATGCTGGGTTTCCTTTCCCCTGCATTCATCTCTAGAGATGTCTTTTTGATTTCTTGTTTCTTTGGGAAGGTTTAAAGAACAGTCTTGAAAGGAATTAGAAGCTGACATGAATAATAGCCATTGAAAGCTTGCCCTCCATTGGTGTCTCTAAGTCTTTCTAAAGGCATCCTATTTCTAAATTCCAAAATTTAATTTTGTTGTATGTAAAGACAAACTCTCTTGGATCTGTCCTGGAGCAGTTAAATTTTTTGCTTTCTGGAGATGAGAAATGATGTGTTATTTGAAGTATTGATCACATGAGTGTTGTGGATAGTCTTTATTAGCTTTAATACCAAAATGAAATTTCCATGTCCAAGGACTTAGCTCTGAATACAGAGACAGAAAACAGGAAAAGTCTATCACCTTTGTTCCCTGTTTGCATGGAAGCTGGTCATGTTGGAAGCAGGATGTTGATGTAGATGGACCTTTGATCTTATACCCTTACAGGAGGTCCAACGTCATGGTTTCTCCCAGTAGAGGCTGGGAACTATAACTGTACGAAAATGATGAGTTCCCATTATTTAAAATTCCATCTTCAAGCTTCCTAATGAAAAGGACTAATACTTTATAGATTGCAATTCAGCATATAAAGTGTTTCGAAATTAATTCTAATTGAACATTAGAAATATCTTCCTTACAGTAAGATTATGGACCATGTACAAATTACTAATGGAGGCCATGAGCTCCTTTTCACTAGATGTGGTCAAGCAGAGGCTGGACAGCCATCTGTTAGATATGGATTAATTTGGATTGATTTTCATCAATCCCCACATCAGCTTACTCAAGATTTGGCTAAAAAATAGAAAACAATATGGTAGACCAAAGATTTGAACCCAGGTTTCACAGAATTAAGACTGTATTGATACAACACCTGTTATAGTTTTGGCTTAGCTGGGTGTGTAAACTCAGTGATTGTTGTTTATAACAGTTATTTATGGTTTAGCATTGAACCCAACCAGTTTTGATTTATTTTACAAACCGTGATTAAGCAATTCATGGTTTGCTGCAATGTATCAAAGCTAAATCAACATTTTAGTGTCTTATGTTGAATTGTCAGGTGCTAAACATTCATTAGGTTTCTTCTTTGGTTCACCTTTTATCTTATGCAAGAAAACAAGTTTTATTGATATTTCATTGATACTGATACTTAACTCAAAGCTGTTACATGATACTATGCTTCAGGATTTGAGATGCTCATGGGTGGGTGTGTTTTGCTACCCACAGGATATTCTGGAAGGAGGCAATCTACGCCTCCCGCTGCAGGAGCTTCACCAAATGATCCTTACCCCAATCAAAGCATACTCTTCTCGGAACCTGACAGTGGATGAGCACAGCCGGGATTCTCAGCTCCATCGACCAACTTCTCTGATTGGCTCAGACAACCCAGGGTCAGATTGCAAGGACTCGGCCTCAGGAGGGATGCAGCATCACACCTTACCAGGTTGTGAGGGAGAATCTGGAGGGGCCCCTTTGCCAGAAGGTGACATCCCAGGACAGTTTACTAAAGTGATGGGGAAAGGTAAGCAGTCCATTTCCTTTTTATTCACTGTCCACTGTTATTTTGCCTGCTGTAAGTTGTTTTGGTCCATGTCGTAACTGTCGTTGTTCATTAACCAGTTTGTTCCAGGGATTTATTATTTAATTAAGTATTGTATAGGCTGCCTGACCCAAATGACTCTGGACAGCTTACAACTAAAAACCAACTTATTAAAAAAAAATGCAACCAACCGGAAGAGGAAAGTACAAAGAACCGGAACAAGGCAAGCAAAACCAAAAAGGTGGCTCCACAGTCATGCTTTCCCCAAGGCCTTAGCAGTGATTCAGAGACCGAGTGATGAGGATCTAATGCAGAAGTGTTCAACCTGTATTTCTAAATTCACATGCAACCAGCCAACCCAGAAGCATCCACTACGGGAAGACCAAGAGGACCAAAATAGTGGATACAGCCACCATTTTGCCCCTCCTTGATCCCCCATAGTGGATCTGCCTGCCTTTACTACAAGGCTTGAGAAGCTCTTCCCATGTTGCCCAGAACTGATTTGCTATTGCCTTTTCCAGGATTTTTTTTTTAAATTTACCAATCTAGCCTAGCAACTTGGGATTCCCTGGTGTGCTCCCATCCAAGGATAAAGGAGTCCCTCCCTGCTCAATTATTTCAGTATCACTCAAGGTCAGTGAAATGCTGCCATCTGTTGTGACCCATTCAACTTGAATTAAGTCTAATTGTAAATTAAATTAAGTTTTTGTGGGGGCTCCTTCTATTTCTTTCTTCCTGGTCTCAATTATTTTTTGGAGTGCAGCACTCCATACAGAAGTAAGGATGGTCCTTCACTTGAAAAAAACTTGACCTAATAGAATTAGATAGTTGATAATTCTCCTCCTCAGATTCAGTTAACTTTAATACCAGCCAGTTTAAATACTGGATCCAGTTTTTATTTTGTATTTTGTTTTGCATGTTCTTTTACTTTCATTCTGTTTGCCTTTGCTTATCTTCTGTATCTGGACATTGCCATTTCTCTCACTCTCTCTCCTCCTTTTCTTCCTTGTTCTGCTCCTTGTTCTGTCCACATTTATCCAAAACACATTTGCTATATACATTTGGTGTGATTTGTATTCACTACCCGTCAAATTGTAGTAAAGATCTCACATTGATCTTGCCTCCCTCCATGGCTGCAGCAACAGCAGCATTTAATAGAGGCAGCAAAGCATCAGTCCAAGGCAGGCCCACATTTGCAACTAAAATTGACTTCAAATTCAGCTTTGTTTAGAGTTGTTTGAATTCAAAATACAAGTGGCTTGTAGAGCATATGTTTTGCATACAACGAGTCCCAGAATCAGATTCTCATACAACAGACTCTTCCATAGAATATATTGAGTTGGAACAGCCTTTCCACTCAAGGTCATCCAGTCCCGTGTACTGCAGCACATGGATCTGCTAAACCATCTGTAGCAGGTGGCCATTCAGCCCCTTTCTGAAAATATCCAGTGAGGGGGAGTCCACAGTTCTTCTAGGGAGACTATTCTCTGCTGTTTTATAGCTCTTTTGGTCAGGAATTACCTCCCAATATTTAGCCTGAATCTCCTCTCTTTTGATTTCAACTCAACAGCCCTTGTTCTGTCCTTGATTTCAACAAAGAATAAATCTGTCCTTTCTTGCAATGACATCTTTTTAGATATCTGTAAACCTTTGCAAGCTAAATTGCCTAGCTTCTTTGACTGTTCCTCACAGGGCTTGGTTTCTATCATCCTGATAGCTGAATCTGTTCCAGCTTTTGTGGCCCTTTTAAGTGCAGTGCCCAGAACTGGGCATAAAACTCCAAGTGTGGTCCAACCAGTGCATTTGGATAGCCACTCCCAAACATAAATTTCAGGTAGCCATGATGGTCCATTAGAACCAGTAGGTTAATATATTTAAAAGATCAAAAAGTGCCGAATGGACTTCTAAAATCTCCAGAACAATTCTTCTGGCTATGTATGCAATGAAACAAAGAATGCCATTTTTGCCTTTTGCTGTCCTATCAGGCTGACTTATCAGGCCAACATGCTGGGTGGAGCTTGGAGGAAGAAAGCTGGTCTAATTGGGCCCATGGACTTCAGCATCCCTAGAGATGCAAGGACTGTAGCAGAGGCAAGCTTAAAATGCAAAGTCTTTGACAATCAGGCCTTAATACTGTTGTTGTCAAATATTGACAAATATTGTGTGGCACATCTGCAAAGACTTTTAGGACTGTAGAGCAACTGTGCTATCAAGTTGTGCTGGATTACAGCTCCTTGGTCATTCTTGGTCAGTTTGCCCTATGGCTTTGCTAACTGGGGATGATTGAACTTGTAGCCTAACACATCTCAAAGGTACTGTATTATGGAAGTAATCCGGATAGCAAGGTTTGTTCTCCGTGGATCCAGAGTCTGACTCAGTATGAAGCAGCATATTATGCTCATACGTGCCCCCTTGTGGCAGTGATTAGGTTACATTATTCCATGTCTGTCCTATCCGCTCAAAGTCCTTCATGTAGCTTTTCCATATTGGAGCTGGAGAAGCAGGAGGCCCAGCTGCTTCCTTTTTATAAATAGACCTACATGGAATAATTCCAGATTGACGCCACAGTAACAGAAAGCAAAGGATAGAACAAAACAGAAGAAGGCATGAATGGAATCCAGCCTGTACATGTGCACATTCTTTAATGACAGCTATTCCATTGATGGCAATTCTTTTCAGGTCACCACAATGAGGGCAGTTTGAATTCATTCTTCAAAAGACTTAAAACAGTTGTAAAATTCTCATTAATTTTACACTTTTGCTGTTGATGATATTGATGACATTGTTGTTATTATTTTGCAGTTTGTACCCAGCTCCTTGTCTCCAGACCTGATGAGGAGAATATAAGCTCCTATCTGCAACTCATAGACAAATGCCTAATTCATGAGGTGAGTCATTATAGGGGGGCTGAGGGAAGGGAGATGGGTTGGCAAACCCTTGTTCTCCTCCCATTTCTTAAAGAGACCTGCTGGATTTCCTAGATATGCAAATATGACCATTTCTAGCACTAATATTGGCATGGGTGTGGCTTAGCAATAGAGTTTCCCCTCTGGGTAAAGAAGTGCCAAGGTTCAGTTCCTGGCCAGCCAGGTAATGTTGGGAAAACTCTAATATTAAGCAATGAAAATCCATTGCCAATCATTGTAGAAACAGTATTAAATGAGGCTCCCATATTAAGTAGATGGTTTCCAAGGATCCTTTTTAGTTCTTTGCTTCTCTGTTAATAAAACGATTTTAGAAAGCTTCTGCTTTACAGTAAGCAGACTAGTGAAAGAAACATCTCTAAGTATAACCACTATTAATTTGTAATAACAATTAGCAAACATTTTCCTTATATGTCTCTAAATACTCTCGAGTCTTTTCCCTTCCCCTCAGTTAATAATGATCTTTCATAGGTCAAAATGTTGTTGCCCTGCTTTTTGTCTATGGTCACACTTGGGCAGGAACACCTCCTCACCCCTCTCTGCTGCAACTTCTATTTTGGCATTTCTGAACTACATGTAGCTTGCTGGGACTGTCTTTTGATGTTTTATATTTATCAAGTAACATTAGCGTTTCTAGCCAGCTCTTCTGTGGCATCTGGCATTGAAGAGAGATTCTATAACATCTGGAGTAGACCAAGTGACCAGACAACTGGTCAACTTTAACCTGCTTATTAGCATCTCATCTCACCTCATTTCACTTTTTTTTTAAGGGCAAATGGATCGTGTTAGTTTTTTGTTGCTGTCATATTTGCCCAGGCTCATGGTTTAAATATAGCTGGAGCTGACTATTTTTTATTTTATTTTTATTTATTTATATTTCAAATTTGGACACCACCCATCTCACAAGGAAGTGACTATTAAGTGAACTCATTTGTTTCAGTCCTATCTCTTATGAAGTACTACTTTCATTCTCCTCACAAATGTTTGCAAATCTGGTGCAGTCTGACCAAGCCTGCCCTTTTACAATAGTGTAACAATTTAGTGTAACAATAAACAATGTTTATTCCACCAGGCTCTTTCCTATTTATAAAGGATCCAGTGAGTTCACACATTGCACTAAGCTATGGTTTGTGTAACCATACTTTCTTAACTAAACCAAAAAAAGATTCAGAGATGGTGAACAAATTCAGCAAAAGGCAACAAAGATGATCAAAAGAATTAGAAACTAAGTCCTATGAAGGCAGATTGAAGGAGCTGGGGATGTTTAGCCTTGGGAAGGGAAGATTGAATGAGGGAGATGATAGCACTCTCCAAATAACTGAAATGATGTCACAGAAGAAGGCAAAGATTTGCTCTCTGTTGTTCCAAAATGCAAGAGATGGAATAATGGATTTAAGTTACAGGAAGGCAGATTCCAGCTGAATGTTAGGAAAAAGAATTTTCTAACAGTAGCAGCAATTCAGTCTGAAATGGATGGAACATGTAAGCAAGATGTGCTGCTTATAGTTAAAGAGCGCAGTGCCAAAGTTGGAAATAGTAAGGACGAAAACATTGTTGGCACAGAAAGGAAGCAAGAGAACAGCTTAGCAGTTTCTGCCAATCCAGTTATTTGCTGATTGCTAACCCAGTGTTCAAACAACCAATTCATGGACATGGACAATACATGGAATACACAGAAATTAAATAAATTATATTATTGGTACAGGTAGATGGAAGATCCCACTTATAACAGTGAAGATATGGCCAGGGGATGACTGTTTAACAGATCATGAATTGCTCATGTGCAAGTTCCAAATCAAGCTAAAGCGGAAAGTCAATCAGTTTCCAAGATATATCTTGAGCATATACCCAGAATTTTCAAGGAGAACATTGGGAACCGCTTTGAAGTCTTGAACCATTGATAGGGGATCAGATAAATTGTGGAATAAAATCAAAGACATTGTTAAGGATAATTGTGAACAGAAACTGCCAAAGACCAAGAAACAGAAGAAAGCAAACTGGATGTCAGAACGAACAGTGGAAATTGCCAAGAAGAGAAGCCAAAGCCAAGAAAGGCAAAAATTGTATGAAGGAATGTAACAAAGAATTTCAGAGCTGTTAAAAGAGACAGGAAACAGTATTATAATGAAATCTGTAAAGACATCAAAGATGAAATCAGACCCAGAAAACAAAGGAAGTCTTCCAAAAGATCCCCAAACTTAGAAAGAGGTTCCAACCTCGCATTGGTTTGCTAAAAAACACCAATGGACAGATAGTAACTGATTCCAAGAAGATCAGACCAAGATGGAAGGAGTATGCTAAGATTCTGTACAACAGAGATGTCAACTTCCAAGATACCTTAGAAGATCATCCCTATTTACAAGAACTCAAGGAGAGTAAGATGAAGTTAGATCAGTACTCTGGTCATTACCAATTCAGAAGGCTACAGGAATTGATGAAATATTTACAGAAATGTGTCAAGCAACCGAAGAAGGAATCATTGGTAAAGATTCTAACCAAACCATGTTAGCAGATCTGAACAATACACAATGGCCAACACATTGGAAGAGGTCAGTCTAAATATCAATAACACAGACTTAACAGTGTGTGCAAACTATTGTATAATGTCCTTAATTTCATATGCTAGCAAAATAATGCATAGAATCATCCAACATAGATTAGAATCCTACATGGAAAAGGAGATGCCAGATGTTCAAACAGGTTTTAGAAAATGCCAAGGAACATGAAAAATATTGTTGATGCATACTGGAAAAAAAAGAAAACCAAAGAATACCAAAAAGAAGTCAATATTACAGAAAAGTCTTTGTGTTGACCATGTCAAGCTGTGAAATGTCCTTAGGAAAATGGGAATCCCAGAACATCTAATTGCCCTCTAAAGTTGGACTTTAAAAAAGCAGACTAGAATGAGTATTAATGTTTTTGAACGTTGGTGTTAGAAAAGACTCCTGAGAATACCATGGATAGTTTAGAAAACAAACAAAGGGATCATAGAACAAATCAATCCAGAGTACTTGCTTGAGGCAAAATGACCAGGGTCAAATTATCATAATTTGGATCCATATGTGAAGACCTAGCTTTCTTGAGAAGTCTATAACACTGGGAAAGATGGAAGGAAAGAGAAGAAGATGATGACCAGCCCCAAGCAGATGGACTCAATTACAGTGGCAATGGGTACACTGTTGGAAGACCTGAAGGGTCAGCTTGGGAAAGATGAACAACAGTGGTTGTTAAGGGCTGACACTGACTTGATGGCACAGCCCATCATCTCTCTGGGAACTAGTTCACCACTAACATCTTATTGTTGATTGATTAACAATAAGAAGATGTTAGTGGTGAACTAGTTCCCAGAAAGATGATGGGCTATCCTTCATTGCATGTGCTCGAGCAGAGACTAGACAGCCGTCTGTTGGAAGTGCTTGAATCTGGATTCCTGCACTGATAAGGGGTTGAACTCTGTGGCCTAAAGTATGCCTTCCAACTTTTTAATCATGCTAAGCCAAATAGAGACAAGCAACATTATGGCTCAGTGCAATATGTGAGACTAGTCTGCCCGAAATGTTGATCCCATGAGAACCCTGAAGAGTTTTGCTGCTATCAAATCCACACGAAATGGTGCTTGGCAACTTGCATGTGGAAAGAGCAGTAATGGTGTCAGAAACTTGGGAAGAGGCTGTTTTACAGCCCCTCCGTAGAATGACACCAGGATTGCAAGTACAGTCAATTCACAGCCTCAGCATGTAGGGATTCCCCTCGGTAATCCTCAGACGGAGAAATGTCTGCAGCTCAGTTTGTCTCTCCGAAGCATAATTAGTTGCACTGAAAAATACAGATTTCAGAGTTTGAATGTAAAACTTGCCGCTTGAGTACAGTGGTTGCCTTTAACAGGGTACTATGTTTCACTCATTAATGAGATGTTTTACTACTAAGCCAGTCATGATGATGATGATGGTCACTTGTGACTTTTTCTTCTAATCATTATTCTATTTTGTATGTTTACCACCTTTTCCCTTCCCTCCCCCCCATAACTCCCTCTCTTGGGCAGGCATTTACAGAGACACAGAAGAAAAGACTGTTGTCATGGAAACAGCAGGTGCAAAAACTATTCAGGTCTTTCCCTCGCAAATCCATCTTAGATCTCTCGGGATACCGGCAGCAAAGGACGTAAGATTGGGGCTTTGTCCCGCAGATTCAACTCCTGGGAGTGCCAATGCTGCAGAGAGTGTCTGGCTGTGTGAATGCTATGGGACTAGGTCTAGAAGGCCAGTGGGTGGGAGACGCACCCCTCGGTTCTAGGAGAGAAAATTGAGGCTCACGGTGGCCCAGGAACAAGCCCCATTCCAGCCTAGCAACTTTTATATTTCCACTATGCCTGGAAAATATGGTGGGTTGATCGATTTGTGATCAAGTGATAGACTTGAGGTGAGAGTTGGAAGAAATCACACATACAAAATTATTAATTTCCAGGTTCTTGACCGGAATATGGTTTTAGTTCCAGTTAAATTATTTGCAATGATTTATTTCAGTTATTTCAGCCCAACACTAAAACAATTCTGTAATTCTGTGAAGCATTATTTAATTACTTTAAAGTGAATTTGCAACATCCTTAATTTTAAACAAGACAGATTGCAAGATCTTCAGCTTCAAGGCTCTGGTAACAGGAAGAGGGAGATTGTGGCACTTTTAAGATTAACCAATGTAATATATATCATAAAGAGCGAGGTGTCTGTTTGGGGTTTATAATACAGGAGGTGAATTGCATTGGGTTGGATTTGTCTGATCTTGTTTCCTCAGCCGAGGTTTTGGCCAGTCAAACTCCTTACCGACAGCTGGATCTGCAGGTGCAGGAATGGGCAGGAGAAACCTACGCCAGTTCCAAATCCCCTCCCGGAATCTCCCCACCACGCGGCTGGGGCTTTTGGGTCCCAGTGGCCTCCTAGGAGCCAGCCAGCGCAACGGAGCTGCCAATCCCACCATCTTAAAGCAAGGAAGACAGGTGTGTATCCGTCAAGTTGCAGGTAATTTCTCAAAGCCACGAGGCCTGTCATAAAATAAGGTAGAAAGAGTTAGTGCAAGCTAGAGGGAACTATTTCAAAAGCGAGGTCCCCCCTCAGTGAAAGCCTCGGTACAGATTCATCCAATGTTGCCACTGGCCCTCTTGGGATTTTCTGACTGAACAGAAGCATTACCTAAATAAAAATTGTGTGGAACTACGTTAACAGGCTTTGCTGCCACAAAGTGTAGTGATGATCACTAATTTAGAAAGGATTTATACAGACCTGTGCCAGAGAACTCTGTCAAGAGGTGTCCAGTCATATTAGCTAAATAAAACTGCCTGTTTTATAAACTTCCAGATCAGAATGTAGTATCTCTTGCAAATCTCAGTGCTGGGGCAAACAAACAAGGAAACGTGCATCCATCCATGATAGAGTACTGTCTCCTTGGGAGCATTTGGCTGGCAGTTGTTGAAAACTGGATAGTCCTTAATCTAAAGCAGTCTTTCCCAAGATGGCACTCTCCAGAAACAAGGATTTTTAACTCCCAGAATTCCCAGCCAGTGGCTGTGCTGGAGTCTTGGGCATTGTAATCCCTGCACATGTGCATGTCCCACCTTGGGGAAAGCTGGCCTAAAATCACAAGGCAACCTCTACAAAAATGAATTTAATTGAAGTGTATGGTTCACACACACACACACACACACATATAAAGGCACAATCCTGATATTCACATCTTGGAGAAAATCCAAATCCATGTATGGATTCAGATTGTAGATTTTTTTTTCCTTTGATGGAAAAGAAAAATTATTTATCACTCACC